GTTCTCATTCCCATGAATATACATATCTTTCATTTTTTATATTTGTAGAAATTTTGTCTATATTTTGTATATTCATTCTAGGTTATTAAAATTTCTACATTTCCTTGTAAATTGTAGATTTCTTGTATATTATTGTAAATCATTTTGTTAGGGAATGTACTACATGATTTAGTTGGTTTTATTGATTATTATTTGCTCTATTTTGTAGATGTTAGTTTTATTTTCTGTAAAAATTTTATATATTATGTGTAGTTGTCACTTTATAACTTCTTGCTCTAAACATAATTTTATCAGTGCATTTGTAGCTTCAATGTAGTCAGTGTTATATATGTTTACTAATTTTGTAACTTACTTGTATGCAATGTATTAGTGTCTCTCTAATTGTAGCTAAATTGTAGTAGAAATATTTTTATTTTATTTTATGTTATTCAAACAAGTTTTATTAACTTACTGCTTCTTTTAGTGCAGAATCGAAGATTTTTTGCACCACATCATGTTGATTATGGCATCACTAGGTTCCAGACATTATTTGACCTTGTTGTTCCTGGCCAAATCAAGGTGTAATTGTCTGTAAATGGGTTAAAGTTGTTTAAGAAGACATGTTTTGGGCATTTTCTTTCCCTGCCCAAAATATGTATCCAAAATCAAGCAATTCACCTTCTCATGAATTTAATGCATTTGATTCTGATTTTTTTTCAGCAGAGATAAAGGGGGAGAGGCTGAACTTTGGGTTGAGGGAGTTTTCCCTTATCACTGGCCTTAGATGTTATACTGAAGTGACGGACTTTGGTTACCCAACTAACTATGACAGTAAAATAATGAGGAGCTATTTTCCAAATAAGGAAAAAGTTGAGAAGTCATACTTGAAAGATATTGTAACTAGCCGTAGTTGGGTGAATGATAAGGATACAGTCAAGCTTTGTATTCTCTATCTGATAGAATTCTTCATCTGTCCTTCTGCAAAAGATAATTTATGTTTGATAGACCACTATAAGTTCTACTTGGTGGACTCGGGGCAATATGCGAATTATGCATGGGGTATCGATGCTTATGATCAATTGCTTCTGTCTGTTAGGCGCAAGCTCAACCCTTCTGTGCATTGTATCACATTTGAGGTTTTGCACTCGCTATGCAAATATGGTTGTATGAGTGTTGCTCTACAATCAACACTGATATAGCTACAAGGGTTGGTAATTCGATCCCCCGCATACTTAATTGGACAGCTAGTAAGGACAAGATATGGTTATCTGCATTGGAAGATAGGATGATCAATCCATCATGGATCAAGGTAAATGTTTTTTACTTCTGGACATACAATTTAATACAAATTATCTACATATTTTATACATATTGTGACTAGGTACCTCACATTTTTTTCACTCAGTTCACCAACTTACTTGAAGCCCCAGAAGAGCTTTCAAGAATCACTTTGCTAGACAAAGTTGAATACATACTTGAAGAAGCTAAAGAAGAGGCCGAGCATCCGACAGATGATCCATCTCCATCTAGACATAAGCAGGCAATGGGAATAGATGACAAAAAAGCTATTGTGAAACAAATAAAAAAATTATAAATAGATGTTGATAAGGTAACATATATACATAATCCTAGCTGGTTTCTTTAATTTATGTTATGCAAATTATTTTGTTAACTCTTTCTATTTAATATGTAGGTGGGTTCAGACCTTGGAACCTTCAAGAAAGAGGTATACCTATTCTTGTTTTTTAGTCTTCTTTATATATATATATATATATATATATATATATATATATATATATATATATATATATATATATATATATATATATATATATCTGTATATGTGTGTGTGTGTGTGTGTAAAGATATATTATAACAATATTTTGTTCTTTTGATTTTTGAAGAACTAGGTAGCATTCGACACCTACTCAATGATTCCATCAAGTCTTTTTCGAAGGCTACAAACAGTCAAAAGGATAAGAAAATAGATGATAAGGTTTGATTCGGAATATATTCTGTTTGGGCAAAAAATTTTACCATGTCTATGTTTCTATTATCATTCATAAAGTATATAGCCTAACAAATTATGCTTGCAGTTTACTGGCAGTTCTACGAAAAATGATGAGCATTACAAAGAAAAAAACAATCAACACAATCGGGCAATAGTGATAAACAAGTGTTTGCCAGCAGCAGTAAAACATGTATCTTAACAATTTTAACACAATTATTCTTTATTATATCTACAATATTTCTACATTATACCTACATTATATCTACATTAATCTATATATAGCCTAAATTACCAACAGATAATCTACATTATATTTTCAATTGCTTTCTTAGCTACAGGACAAATGAATGACATTCAAATTGAGGAGAATGTTGTTGTAGGTGTTGACTTATCTTCCCAATTTCAAGTGGCATTGGATGAAGAAATTGCAGGTATGATTTAGTACATTTTATCAACACATTTCACAATACATATTTCATCTCAGCTATAGGATAACATTTCAACAAATTTACTACAACTAAACTACAATTTTTCTGCCGTGTTGTTTCTGTTTGCTATAAATTATCTACAATTTTATTAAGTTGGACACATTTATTGTAACAGAGAATGAAACTATGCATGTGGACTCCCCAAAACAGGATTCTAAAGTTGGCATACAAGGAGATCACTTAAATGAGGAGAAGGAGACTACGTATTTGGAATCTCTCATTCAACAAGCAAACGTTATACAACAAGGAGACGATTTCTCTCAATATTTAAGTGGTATTATATGTTACGATATAATTGTAGGAAAAGAACAACAGGTTTTATATATGTTTCAATTTTCCAAAAAGAACTGATTCAACCAACATACAATTTTGTTCTTTTGTTTTAAATTTTGAAGGTGAACCAGCCGACTATATCAATCGGACAATGACTCCAGGTCTGGAAAAAGGGAAGTAACACTTGATGATTTTGAGCTGCCAGAGAACTTCTCCCAGATTGTTAAGTTCGGTGAGCTTAATGAAGATGAAACAACACCTGTGCATCAAGGAAGGACAAGGCAGCCTGGAAAGCATGCTAGATCCCCCTTTCTCCCTTATTACAGTTCTGGGGGAAGCACTTCTATTGGACCTCCAATTTTCCTCATCAAGCATCCATTTACTGGGGTTATTGGCGATGATGTTGATCCTGACTTGTTGGAAGAATTCAATAAGTGGTTATACTCTAGTACCGACACGGTGTCAAAGAGGTTAGATTATACAACATTTCATATTATCGAGTGCATACAATTTTTTGATTTACATTTGAGACTACATAGCAATTGAACTTGCTATGTGTTTTAATAGGAGGAAGGCGCCTTATTCTATAAAAGATAACCAGCTCAAGCCGTGGTATGATCTTGGAGTGGAGAAAGTTTATAAAAAGGAGTGGTTATATACTTTGGCACATCCCGGCCAAGTCCTCAACGACACCGTACACACGTACCCCAACTGAATTTAGTGATTAGTTGTAGTATACTGTTATTTTAGAATTCTGTAGTTTTTTGGTTTGAAAATTGTAGTTAAATTGTATGAAGCATTGAGAAATAATGAAATTTGTTTTTTTGCAGCATATTGATGTCATTTTATACTATTTTAAGAATAGAGGAAAGTAAGATCCTCAAAATAAAACATGATTTACAACAACTGATTGTATTTTCAAGACTAGAATTGAACAAATTTAGCAGAGGTACATTAACGCTCCTGCTGATAAGAAGCTTGTTGTAGTCAAACCCTAGGACGTCATATTAGAATACATATTAGGGTACAGGTTACTTGCAAATATTGCATGGGATCAAGTTGATTTTGTGATTATGCCCATAAACATTGTGGAGAAATTTCATTGGTTGTTGGTTGTGTTTGACATTACCGATAGGGTTCTATATGTTTATGATTCTATGGTCTCTTCACGAAATCATACCCTTGTTGAATCTACTGTCAACAAGTTTGCTGTTATGATCCCCCTCTACTTGTCATGCACTGGCTTCTATGGCAAGCGTCCAGACATCAACTACAAGAACACAAAGGCTTACATTGAAAAAGGTGTTACTGACCCTCTTGGCATTCAGTGGTTGGTCGGTGAGATACCCAGCAAAAATTAGGATCACTGTATGAAAAAACTGCCCTATTATTCCTTCTATCTATTTAACACATTGTATTTTACACTGAATGCTAAATCTTTTCCCCTATTATTTTTTTGCAGTGACTGTGGTGTATATGTGGTGGCATTTGCAGAATATGTCAGTATTGGAGAGCTATCGATTTCAAAGGAAGACCTTTCTGATATTGATCTACACCGTAGACGCTATGGAGCGTTACTTTGGGATTATGCTAGGAAAAAGCAAGAGCTTGGTTCCATTAATGAAAGTGAGGTGACTGGAAGATTAGCAAGAAGAAAAGGTGTACCAGCTGTGAACGAGAGAACACAAGTCCGGAAAAAAATGAATTAGTTGCCCTTCTCAGTACAAAAAATGTTGTTAAGATGTTTAGCTGTAGTTGGTTTGTAGTAAAGTTGTAGACAAAATGTTAACGAAGAACAAGTCAGCTGCAATTTATTTGTGATACAGTTGTTTTACCTTTTTGTTTTGTTATTTTGTCCAGAAATTTGTACTACTTGGAATAGAAAATAATTGTGGCTTTTTTTTTGGTTGAAAGTTGTTAGTACTTGATCTCGATATTGTCCTTATATAATTTCTTTACATTTTAACAACAATTATGTCTACAACTATTATACAAAAAAAAACATAATCCATTTAATTTAACGCAGTGTTGTGAGTAAATGCTGAAAAGTAATAAACAAACTCAGTATTTGAACAAAACAATTACAAACCTATTGCATTAAGAGTTGAAATCTTTTTATCAAACATTTCATGTCTAACAGAAATAAAAACTTTATTCAAATTGGCAACACAATTGCAACTTCCTATGTCTTAAAGGACAGATTATCATCAACACTACTCAGGAAAATAAAATTGTCACTGTATCAGTTTTTATTTCCTTTTGGGAACATTCTTACAAGATCTTTTATTATGCCCTTCTACGCCGCAGTTTCCACATGACACCTTGTACTTCTTTGAATTTACTTCACCATATGGTTTGTATCTTTGCTTTTGCGGTCTTCCTGACTGTCTTTTCCCAGTAGGTGGCATTATAACTTCTTCAGCTATATGTAGTGGCATATTCCATTTGCTTTCGCCAGACAGCGGGTCTACTAGTATTTTATAAGTATTCAAAAGACTCTCCCTCGTGTAATAAGGAGAACAATAGTTTTCATAAGACTCGCTACTGTGCCTCAAAGCTGCCAAAGCATGTGGACAAGAAAGTTCATCAAGCTGGAATTGTCAACAAGTACATCTCTTGTTTTGAAGGCAAACAATGAAGCGCTTCACACCATCCATCACAATATGGATGTGATCTGTGGAAACCCTCACCGACAATTTTATTACAAACACAAAACAAGTTGTCGGCAACAGATACATAAATAAAATAACTACAATTATTCAAAAAAAATTCTACAATTAATAGTATATATTTAGTTTGATGGAATCAATGATCTGATGTTACTACTATAGCTTACTCTCATCTTATGCGATAATGTGTTGTTGTCCCCCAACTCTTTGTTGTATTTTTTCCCAAGGTATGTGTAACGACCCGGCTGGTCATTTTTGGAAATTACGCCCCGATCCCCCATTAACTGCTTCCCCTAAGTTCATTCCTGCTTTTTTGGTTCGCCGGGACGTTCGGTGTTGGGATTCGGAGTGTTTTGGGACACTTAGTCCCTAAATGAGAGCTTAAGAGTTGAAAAATGGTCCGCAATCGGAACAGTGTGAAGACGACCTCGGAATGGAAATCTGATGGTTCCGTTAGCTCCGTTAGCTGATTTCAGGGTTGGGAGCGTGTTCGGAATGTGTTTTGGAGGCTCGTAGCTCATTTAGGCTTGAAATGCCGAAGTTTGAATTTTTGAAGTTTCCGGTCCGATAGTGAGTTTTTGATCCGAGGGTCGGATTGGAATTCCGGAAGTTGCAGTAGCTCCGTCATGTCATTTGGGATGTGTGTGCAAAATTTCAGGTCATTCGGGCGCGTTTGGTTAGGTTTTTGATCGAAAGTGCGTTTTGTTGGAATTTGAAGTTCTTAGGCTTGAATCTTTGATTTAATCGGGTTTCCAGTGTTGTTTTAGGTGTTTTAAGGATTGGTACAAGTTCGAATAAGGTATTAGGTGGTATTGGTGCTTTTGGTTGAGGTCCCGGGGGCCTCGGGATGATTTCGGGTGGTTGACAAAAAATTTTGAAGTTGAATGAATTGCTGAAGGTTCTGTCATCTGGTATTTCCACTTCTGCGGCTTGGGAGGCGCAGAAGCGAAGCTGCAGAAGCGGCTAGACCACCGCAGGAGCGAAATTCGAGTGCTTCTTCAGTTTCCGCAGGTGCGGAAGTTTAACAGCAGAACCGGTTATGCACCTGCGAGATGGTAGTCGCAAATGCGGTCCTTGGAATTTTGTTTGAAACCGCAGAAGCGGTAATGAATCCGCATAAGCGGCAACCGCAGGTGCGGTGAAGGGCCGCAGAAGCGGAAATCTTGACTTTAATGAAGAACCGCTGAAGCGGCTCGTGGTCCGCAGAAGCGGTCTCTTGTCCGCAGAAGCGGAAACCCCTAGACAGAAATAGAGATGTCGAGGGTTTGAGTTCATAAGTTGCAAAAATCAATTGAGAGCTCGGTTTAAGGCGATTTTGAGTGGGATTTGAAGTGAAGATCATTTGGTAATGTTTCCTTGGTCCCTTCTTGTTATATTTCATCATTTTATAGTTAAATACACCATTGGAATTCGAATTTAGGATCAAAAATTGGAAGAAACTTCATAGACCTAATTATTGAGTTTTGAGTGGGCAATTGACCTCCGATTTGGAAGATTTTTATATGGTTAGACTCGTGAGAGTACGAGGGTTCTGAAAATGTAAAAATTATTTGATTCCGAGATGTTGGCTAGAGGGGCGTTTTGGTCATTTTACCTATTTCTGCGCCCTAGCTGTAAATTTAATAGTGGAATCAGTTGTTTGCAATATTACTTACGATATGTAATTGAATTGAATAGATTTGGACCATTTGGAGTCGGATACTCGTGGCAAAAGTGTGATTTCGAGTTGATTTTGGTGCCGATTCGAGGTAAGTGGCTTGTCTAACCTTGTGTGGGGGACCTTTCCCCTTAGGATATGATATGTGGTAATTGAGTGCCTTGTACGTGAGGTGACGAGCGCGTACTTGAGCTAATTGTTGAAAAATCCGGTTTTTACTTAAGATATTGAGACTGAGTTTCCTTCATATTTGCCTTGTTTTACTTGCAGTTATAACCTGTGTTAGATTAGAAAAGCATGTTTAGTTGATTTAACTTGCCTAATTGTTTAAGTTGCCTTGACTGTATTACGTGAAGCATGCTAGGCTAGCACTACCTGATGTTTGTCTTTGTACTTCATTTCTGAATATCTTCTGGTTGTGGTTGTGCATTTACATTGGGACTACGATTGTGGGATTCTGGTAGCTCCCTCTCCCCCCCCCCCCCCTTGTTTGTTTACTTTGGGACTGCGGGTTCGATTCCCGATAGATCCCCCTGCACATTTACTTTGGGATTGCGGGTTAGATTCCCGATATATCCCCCTGTACATTTACTTTGGGACTGCGAGTTAGATTCCCGATAGATTCCCCCCCTGCACATTGATAGTTGGACTGCGGGACGGTATTCCGGGAGATCCTCCGGATATACACATATGATGGACTACGGGACGGTATCCCGGGAGATCTACTAGACAGTTGAGAAAAAGGGCTACAGGACGGTATCCTGGGAGACCCTCATTGTTATCATTGGTATTGGGCTGTGTTTACTCTGTGTTTATTCTGTACTCGTGTAGTTGTTATAGCCTCGTTGACTTGTCTTATCTCACTGCTGTACCTATTATATCTGTCAGATTTTTATATTGTTAAATTATTATTATTATATTTTGTCTCAGTAGGGCCCTGACCTTCCTCGTTACTACCCAACCGAGGTTAGGCTTGGCACTTACTGAGTACCGCTGTGGTGTACTCATGCCCTTCCTGCGCATGTTTTTCATGTGCAGATCATCCAGGTACCTCTACTCAGGCGCACTATCACTGAGGCGGGAGGGCTATGGAGACTTCAAGGTAGATCTGCTGCGTCCGCAGACCGACGAGTCTCCCTCTTATTCTATCTTTAGTACTTAGTTTTCCTTCTTTCGGTTGTTAGAAATTCTGGAGTTTGGAACATTTACTATACGCTTCTGTAGCCTGTGTTGCCCGTGAGTTTCCGGGTTTTGGGAATTGTTTTAGACTTGTGATATTGAGTCGTACTTAAAAAGCGGCATTCAGTACAGTTTTCCTTTAGATATTTGATTTGATTTTTCTCTATTTTTCTGCAATTACTATATTTCCGCAATGTTAGGCTTACCTGGTCATGGGGACCAGGTGCCGTCATGACATGTTCACGGTTGGTGAACTAGGGTCGTGACAAGTTGGTATCAGAGCTCTAGGTTCATAGGAGTCACGGAACACAGGCCGGTTTATTAGAGTCTCGCTGATCGGTACAGAGACGTCTGTGCTTATCTACGAGAGGCTATGTAACTGTTTAGGAGAAATCTTCATTTCATTTGAATTCCTTGTCGTGCGATATTTCGAACATCAATTCTAAACTTCTGACTTCTATTCTCTCACAGATGGTGAGGACACGTGCTACTCGTGATGATCAGGCACCCGCGCCCCCTCCTGCAGCCGTCAGAGGCCGGGGCCGGGGGAGAGGTCGAGGATGTGCACGTGGTGCAGCCAGAGCACCTGCGCGAGCTGCCGCCGAGGTACCACCAGCAGATCCAGCCGGAGCCCAGGCACCTGGCACACCTACTACTGCCACTACTACTCCAGCGCTCCAGGAGACTTTGGCTCAGTTCATGAGCATGTACACCACTTTGGCTCAGGCGGGGTTGCTTCCCATTGCTGCAGCCACATCCCAGGCCGGGGGAGGAGCACAGACTCCCGCCGTCCGCACTCCTGAGCAGCGAGTGTAGGTTGAGCAGGCTCCCGAGATTATTCTGGCACCGCCTGCAGCGCTAGTTCAGCCCGAGGATGGGTCAGCTGCTTCAGAGGACGAGCAGCGCAGACTTGAGAGGTTCAAGAAGTATGATCCCCCAGTGTTCAGTGGATTAGCATCAGACGATGCCTTGGGATTTCTAGAGGATTGTCATCGTATTCTTTGCACTATGGGCATAGTGGAGTCCAGCGGGGTTTCTTTCACTGCTTTTCAGCTTCGGGGAGCTGCCTATGACTGGTGGCGCACTTATGAGATAGACAGTCTAGTCGAGGCTGCTTCACTGACTTGGACCCAGTTCTCGGACATGTTTATGAGAGAGTTTGTTCCCCAGAGCCTCAGAGATTCATGGCGCGTAGAGTTTGAGCACTTGCGCCAGGGTGCTATAACAGTTTCAGAGTATGCCATCCGTTATACCAGGTTGGCCAGGCACGCACCGGCTTTGGTTGCTACAGTTCGAGAGAGAGTTCGCAGGTTCATTGAGGGCCTTATTCCGCCCATCAGGTCTAGCATGGCTCGAGAGTTGGAGATGGACATTCCTTATCAGCAGGTAGTGAGCATTGCTAGGAGGATTGAGGGTATGCTCGTCAGGGAGCGAGGAGAGAGGGAAGCCAAGAGGTCTCGAGAGTCGGGCCACTACTCTGGTGCCCGTATCTCATCAGCAGGTCCTTATGGTAGAGGTTATTCTGGTCGCCCTGTACATTCAGCTTTACCAGCAGCCGGCAGTACTCCAGCTCCGCCTACACCACAAGAGCCTTACTATGCGCCTCCAGTTTCTAGCGCGCCTCCTGCGCGGGGTACTTCCAAAGGTCAGTCTAGCAGGCCTAGCCCCAGCCAGTCACAGCCACCGCGCCCTCCCAGAGCTTGCTTCGAGTGTGGTGATACACGCCACATGGTTAGGGACTGCCCCAGACTAGGTAGGGGTGCATCTTCACAGACTACCCAGCCACAGCGTGCTCCTCAGAGTTCTCAGGCTATGGTCACAGCTCCCGCTGCTACCCCACCTGCCCAGCCAGCCAGGGGCGGAGGTAGGGGAGATAGAGGTCGCCCTCGAGAGAGGGGCCGGGCCAGATATTATGTTATTCCTGCTCGTACTGAGGCTGTTGCCTCCGACTCCGTCATTACAGGTATTATTCTGGTTTGTCACAGAGAGGCATCGGTTCTATTCGATCCGGGCTCTACTTACTCTTATGTGTCTTCTTACTTTGCTCCTCATTTGGGTGTGCCTCGGGATTCTTTGAGTGCCCCCGTTTATGTTTCTACTCCTGTGGGAGATTCTCTTGTTGTGGACCGCGTTTATCGGTCATGTTTGGTTA